TGGAGATGTGTTGAGTAAGAAGTTGCTGCGGCCAAGGTCAAAGAGGTTTTTGCCTGCTTTCTCCCCAAGGATTTTGATGGCTTCCTGTCTTACATTTAGGTCCTTCATCCATTTTGAGTTTCTTTTTGTGTATGGTGTAAGAAAGTGGTCCAGGTTCATTTTTATGCATGTTGCTGTCCAGTTTTTCCAGCACCACTTGCTGAAGACACTGTCTTTATTCCATTGGATATTCTTTACTGCTTTGTCAAAGATTAGTTGGCCATATGTTTGTGGGTCCATTTTTGGGTTCTCTACTTTGTTCCATTGATCTGAGTGTCTGTTTTTGTGCCAGTACCACACTGTCTTGATGATTACAGCTTTGTAAAACAGCTTGAAGTCCGGGATCGTGATGCCTCCATCTTTGGTTTTCTTTCTCAAGATTTCTGTGGCTATTCGGGGTCTTTTCTCATTCCATACAAATGTTTGGATTGTTTGTTCTAGCTCTGTGAAGAATGCTGGTATTATTTTATTAGGGATTGTATTGAACATGTAGATTGCTTTGAGTAGTATGGACATTTTAACAATATTTGTTCTTCCTATCCAGGAACATGGAATATTTTTTCCATTTTTTGGCGTATTCTTCAATTTCTTTCATAAGCTTCCTATAGTTATCAGTGTGTAGATTTTTCACCTCTTAGATTTATTCCTATGTATTTTATGGGTTTTGGTGCAGTTGTAAATGGGATCAGTTCCTTGATTTCTCTTTCTGTTGCTTGATTATTGGTGTATAGGAATGCACCCGATTTCTGTGCATTGATTTTATATCCTGCGACTTTGCTGAATTCATGGATCAGTTCTAGCAGTTTTTTGGTGGAATCTTTTGAGTTTTCCATATAGAGTATCATGTCATCTGCAAAGAGTGCAAGTTTGACCTCCTCCTGGCTGATTTGGATGCCTTTTATTTCTTTGTGTTGTCTGATTGCTGAGGCTATGATTTCCAATACTGTGTTGAGTAACAGTGACAAGAGTGGACATCCCTGGCTTGTTCCTGACCTTAGGGGGAAAGCTCTCAGTTTTTCCCCATTGAAGATGATATTAGCATTGGGTCTTTCATATATGGCTTTTATGATCTCAAGGTATGCTCCTTCTATCTCTACTTTCTTGAGGGTTTTTATCAAGAAAGGATGCTGTATTTTGTCAGATGCTTTCTCTGCATCTATTGAGAGGATCATGTGGTTTTTGTCCTTTCTTTTATTGATGTGATGAATCATGTTGATTGTTTTGCAGATTTTGAACCAGCCCTGCATCCCAGGTGTAAATCCCACTTGGTCATGGTGAATAATTTTTTTAATGTATTGTTGGATCCAGTTGGCTAGTATCTTGTTGAGGATTTTTGCCTCCATGTTCATCAGAAAAATTGGTCTATAGTTCTCCTTTTTAGTGGAGTCTTTATCTGGTTTTGGAATCAAAGTAACACTGGCTTCATAGAAAGAGTTTGGAAGTTTTCCTTCCATTTCTATTTTTTGGAACAGCTTCAAGAGAATAGTTGTTAACTCTTCTTTAAATGTTTGGTAGAATTCTATTGGAAAGCCATCTATCTGGTCCTGGACTCTTGTTTTTTGGGAGATTTTTAATTAATAATTCTATTTCTTTACTGGTTAAGGGTCTGTTCAAATTTTCTATTTCTTCCTGTTTCAGTTTTGGTAGTGTATATGTTTCTAGGAATTTGTCCATTTCTTCCAGATTGCCCATACTATTGGCACATAATTGCTCATAATATTCCCTTATTATTGTTTATATTTCTGCTATGTTGGTTGTGATCTCCCCTCTTTCATTATTGATTTTATTTATTTGGGTCCTTTCCTTTTTCTATTTGATCAAACTGGCTAGGGGCTTATCAATTTTGTTAATTCTTTCAAAGAACCAGCTTCTGGCTTCATTGATCTGTTCTACTGTTTTTTTAGTTTCGATAGCACTGATTTCTGCTCTAGTCTTTATTATTTCCTGTCTTCTGCTGGTTTTGGGTTTTATTTGCTGTTCTTTTTCCATATCTGTAAGGTGTAAGGTTAGGTTGTATATATGAGATCTTCCTTCTTTAGGAAGGCCTGGATTGCTATATACTTTCCTCTTATAACCACCTTTGCTGTCTCCTGGAGGTTTTGAGCTGTGGTGTTATTATTTTCATTGGCTTCCATGTCCTTTTTAATCTCCTCTTTAACTTCTTGGTTAGCCCATTCATTCTATAGTATGATGGTCTTTAGTCTCCAAGTATTTGTTATCTTTCCACATTTTTTCTTGTGGTTGATTTCAAGTTTCATAGCATCGTGGTCTGAAAATATGCACAGTATGATCTTGATCTTTTTGTACCCCAGTATGTGATCTATTCTGGAAAACGTTCCATGTGCACTGGAGAAGAATGTGTATTCTACTGCTTTAGGATGAAATGTTCTGAATATATCTGTTAAGTCTGTCTGGTCCAGTGTGTCATTCAGAACCATTGTTTCCTTGTTGATTGTCTATTTAGATGATCTATCTATTGCTGTAAGTGGGGTGTTGAAGTCCCCTATTATTATGGTATTCTTATCAATGAGTTTCTTTATATTGTGATTAATTGATTTATATATTTGGGTACCTCCAAATTTGGAGCCTAAATGCTTACAATTCTTAGATCTTCTTGGTGGATAGACCCCTTCCTTAATTATGATATAATGCCCTTCTTCATCTCTTGTTACAGTCTTTATTTTAAAGTCTGGATTGTCTGATATAAGTATGGCTACCCTGGCTTTCTTTTGTTGACCATTAGCATGATAGATGGTTCTCCATTCCCTTACTTTCAATCTGAAGGTGTCCTTAGGTCTAAAGTGGGTCTCTTGTAAACAGCATATAGATAGATCTTGTTTTCCTATCCATTCTGTTATCCTGTGTCTTTTGATTGGGACATTTAGTCCATTGACATTTAGAGTGAGTACTGAAAGATAAGAATTTATGAGCATTTTTTTTTTTAAGTTTATTTATTTAGAGAGAGACAGAGACAGCACAAGAGGGGGAGAGGCAGAGAAAGAGAGAGAAAGAGAGCGAATCCTAAGCAGGCTCCACACTGTCAGCTCAGAGCCTGATGAAGGGCTCAAACTCACAAACTGAGAGATCATAAGCTGAGCTAAAATCAGGAGTCAGATGCATAACCAACTGAGCCACCCAGGCACCCCTGGATGGGTATGTTTTTTAAAAGAGTCCTTGTATTTTAGATATCATATTGAAATATTATGGATTAAGGCATATGTCTGAGACTTGCTTCAGTATAGTTGGGGGTGGAAGAGATAGTTGGATCTATTAATGAAACAAGATTGGGCAGAAGGGGCCATTTTTGGAAGTTGGATGATGGTTATGTGGGGATACATTATACCGTTGTCTCTAGTTTTATATATGTTATAATAAAGTTAAAAATATAAAAAAGGTTGTAACTAGAAGGATGATCCTCTTAACTTTTTTTGCATGATGATTAGTGAGGCTCTTAGGGCTGTGTCAAGAGCTTTCACAGCTTAAAACTGGAATCCAGGAAAAGAAAAAAAACACATTTCCCTTTGAGAAGATGTTTATTCAGCCAGCCTTGCCTGACAAAATTTTCCCAAACTCTGCTCACCCCATCTCACCCCGTCAGTCTGGATTAAATATCATCCTCTTTTGTGTTCTCTAAGTACCCTCTACATACTTCCACGGTGTACTTAACTGTGTATTGTCTGGGTCTCCCACTTTCCAGATTATAAATTCCTTGAAGATATTAACCTTGTGTATTCATCTTTATTCATCTGTATTCTCCCCTCATCACTGCATTAAACATTGGGTTTGGTAAGCTCTCTCAATAAATTGCTGAATGAGCGATAGGGAACTGGATTTGTGCTGGTAAATAAAATGTAAAATATAACCCCCTACTTTCTCCATATTCTCAGTAAACCCTTTTCTGAAGACTACTAAGGTATAGCTACAGAGCTTCTTTAAATTTTTCATATTCTGCCCATCCTCTGGCAGAAGTGCTAATGAAAGATAAGTAAAGGGTAAGTAAGCACTGTAGCAAAATGGAAAATAGGTTTCTGCACAATCAAATGTTGCTGATTTCCATTCATTCCCAGGGTATATAATGCAATGAAGTCTTTTCAGATGGCTTTCTGTACTGTTTTGCTGCATTCTGTGTATCAGAATTCCCCTTCTATATGAATTCCTTTTAGTCTGTCTTCTTGGTATGCAATAAGATGGTAGTTAGAATGTAACCTCCTAGGGGCACCTGGCTGACTCAGTCAGTGGAGCATATAACTTTTGATTTGGGAGTTGTAAGTTCAAGCCCCGTCTTGGGTGTATAGAGATTACTTAAAGATTTTTTAAAATCTTAAAAAAAATAATAATAACCACCTAGAAAAGGTGGCAAGAAATACTATAAAAATAATATTTGGTAGGGTTTCTGGCTGGCTCAGTCAGTAGAGCATGCAACTCTTGATCTCAGGGTCGTGAATTCAAGCCCCAATTTGGGCATGGAGCCTGCTCAAAAAAAATTTTTTTTGAATGCGATTTTGTGCTGTGTAGAGTGTTATCTAGCAGTTTCCTAGTGGGCGACAATCTCCATATAGCAGACTTTAAGAAGTCTACAAAATTTTATAACTGGGAGAGACCTAAGAGACTAATGTGGTTTCCTATTTTCATTCCGCTGCCCCCATTAAAAAGAACAGCTTTTTGTATAATCACTATCTTTTTGCTGTCTTAAAATATTGCATATTATTTAGTCCCAAAATCTGGGCTAGTTTCTAAACTAGTACTTTCCATATTTAGACTATTGAGAAAATAGGACATACAAGTAACAACTCTTACCTAAAATGAAAAAAAAATGGATAATTATCATTTTCTTTTGGTCACATAGTGTTGGATGATTTCTCATTTTTGGAAAGCAGCAAAATAAGTCTTAAACTTTAAAATACAATTACTGGATATCTTAACCTTATTAAAGACTTAAAGATACTTTATTTTCTCTTTAGGTCGTACGGGACTATAATCTTCAGCTGTTTTTACAAGAGAATGCTGTATTTCACAAACCCCAGCCCTTCCAGTTCCAACCCTGCGACAGTGATACTGTAAGGGAATTCCAGATTTTCATTCCATTTGTTTAAGCAATGTTTGTGTTCAAATGACTGTTATCCTCAGACTAGACAGAAAAAGCTGAGTGTGTGTCTCCTTAATTTTATAACAAAACTGTGAGTATGCAGAGAAACTGACATTTCTTCTTTCTAAAATGTGACTAAAACCCAGTATCTTTATGCAAGCAACTTAAACAAGGTTAAATTATAAGACACGGTACTGGAAACCTGCAAACTGAACTGAGGGAAGAAGGAAAAGTACTCAATAAAATTTTTTTTTTCAATTTAAATATAAATCATACTTTCTATCCATGAAATTCTTCACATGTGCATAGTTCCAAAGAAACCAGTGGTTAAATTTTAACCAGAATAGAATCAATAAACAGAGGAGTGAATATGTGCCTGCAAATATTTTGTTTGGCTTTTAAAAAAATTACAGGCCCTTTATTATTCCTTTCAGATTTCTTAGAATGTCAGAGCATTAACATAAATGCCAAATTGGCAATTTTGAAAAAGCAGACATTAAACATACATTTTATTCTTGAGCTAATGAAAAATGTTTGCCATTATTTAAATTAAAAAAAAATAGAACCAAAATGCTAATTTGATAACATAAAGAAAGGCAATCAACTTCTACAAGTTGAAAAAGCACATGTTGGCGTATCTAGCACATTCATTCCATGTAGGCAGGCCAAGAGGGAAGTCAAATTTTATTCATAAGGTCTCTTAGTAAACCTAGAATCAGAACCAGGGGAATTTATGATCTCAGAATTTCATGCTATCAGTTTAATAGAAATCTTTGCTGGAGATATCTTCATTACTTTTCTTACATTTTAAGGAGCCCTGTTAGTGGCTATGTAAAGAAATATAGGAAATCAGCATTTTTCTCTAGATTGTAACTCTTGCCCTTTATATTAGTGCCCTTTTTATCAATCTGCTTTTGCTTAATCACCCAGTGACATTGTCCTATAATTTGACTTCTTTAGCTGAAAGGAATAAAGCTGGGCAATAGAAGATATGGGGTATGGACAGGTTCACCAAGCTTGACTTAAAACTGTGACTAATACTAAATTATTTTATCTTTGCCCATTTTCCTCAAAAACTCAGAATAACTGTAGACTCTCGTCTTACTTGTCCAAGGCTCAACTACAATCTGAAATCCTCCTTTGTTTCTAGACACTGTGCTAAATGTTCTTAGCTGTGTGTCCCTGTTAACCTGAAGATTCTAACTATGCTGTTTTCTGTCCTTGTGCAATCTTTACTGGGCAGAGTTTAAAAGCTGCCCAGCTGGTGGATATTGAGCTCTCCCCTGTCAGTGCTCTGAGAATGACCATAGCTGAGGTATATGGGGGGTGTGGGTCAAGGGTGGGGGAGATGGGATGTGTGGGTTTGCATGTTAATGAAGGGTGGGACTGGTATTGGGATTAAGAGTGTGTGTGTGTGTGTGTGTGTGTGTGTGTGTGTAAGAGGCCACTGAATGCATACACTGGGGCTTTCCATTTTCCTTAATATAAATTAAGGTTTTCCTTTCCTATTTATAGTGAAAAGATTGAACTTCTCATTTTTCATCTTGTCTGAAGCACCTTAGTTTTCCTCAACAGATGTGCTGGAAAGGATTGTAGAGCTAATCTTGCCTTTATCAAGGAGAAAACTTGATATGACCCAGTTCAAATTGCAGTGTTTTTCCTGCAAAAGTCCAAACTGTCCAAATGAAAACAGTCACATATTACTGTCAAAGTTAATTAAGACATGAAATGATTGTTACCCCCCACCCCGCCTTTTTTTTTTTTTTTTGGTTTATCTTTTACTTGCTGTTGAATCGAAATTTCTTGTCATTTTATTTTAATACATGATTTTTTTTTATTTTGTTAACATTTATTTATTTTTGAGACAGAGAGAGAGAGAGAGCATGAAGCAGGGAGGGTCAGAGAGAGAGGGAGACACAGAATCTGAGACAGGCTCCAGGCTCCGAGCTGTCAGCACAGAGCCCAACGTGGGGCTCAAACTCACAGACTGCGAGATCATGTCGGACGCTTAACCGACTGAGCCACCCAGGCGCCCCAATATATGATTATTTTGCCTTATGCCTTAAAATGATATACCAAAAAAAAAGAAAAAACTGAGCAAAATGGTTTTATAAAGACACAATGGTTATGAGTAACAATGATGAGTGGCAAGTTTTGTTTCATGTGACATAATTGCTATCTCATGGTTAACACTGAAAGAATTCCTTGTCTTTATTTCCATATAGAGTTACTGATTTCCAAAGTGTCCTGTCTTTATATCCTCAAATAACATTTTTCAGATGATACCAGTAAGTCAAAAATCCTTTCTAGAAAGAGTAATTTTCACCTTTTTTTGCTGAAAGTTTTTAATGCAAGATTATTCCAAGAAGGATATGAGATGTACCCTAAAATTTCCCTTCCTCCTTCCCCAAAATAGGATGTTCTATGAGGGAGAATTGACAAGTACATATATTAAGACCTCAATTTTGGAGAGTCATTCAGCTGTCAAATGGATCATGCTTGTTTTAGAGATTCATACAGGTGTCGTACAATGAGAAATCATGGGCTTTGGAGTCAAATCCTAGCTATGCCGTTTGCTAGCTGTGCTTACTTTATTTATGTGTTTATATATATTTCACCTCTCTGATTCAGCTTTGTCAGATATAAAATGTTAAAAACTTTACTTGGTTTGAAAATTAAATGAGCTTCTTTAAGCATTTGACTCTATATGCCTAGCATATAGGTGGTACAGAATAAATGTTGACTGTCTTTCCCCCCCCCCATCTTTCTACAAGACAATCATATTTCACTTTTTTAGGTTTTGCCCCTAATTGCTATAGGAAATACCAAAATATCAAATATGGAAGACAGTATAAAGATAATGAAATCTTATAACACTTTTGTAATCCTGGCCCCTCTGCTCTTAAGTCCCGTATTGATTGTCCCTTGGGACTTCTGCTCTCCCTTTGTATTCCACAATGTAGATCTCATCAACCTCTCTGTTAACAGTTTATGAACTTAAAAGGCAATCTGTGTGGAATAAACAACAGCCAGTAGCAAACAATTAGTGTCCATTCTTACTCTTATCATAAGAACATAACTGGTACTTTTCAGTACGTCTGCCCTACATACATCTCAATGTCCCTTCCATTACCAGAACTAGTGATGTGTGCCTTTAAGGACATTTCCTCACATCCTATGAAAAGGACCTCCTATCCTATTTCAGCCTGGGATGGGATGGTATAATACAGGAAACACACATGTCTACATATAAAGACAGAAAAAACCTAAGGAAACTTTTCTCCCAAATTTTCTGGTGAGGATGAGAATACCCTTTCCTGAACTGCAAATAATAAGATCTTCACAGATATCACAAACTGACATTTTTATCACAGTGTCACAAATATAAAAAAAAAAAAAAGCTGACAAATTCCTGATACATGATCTTTTCCTGTTATTTTAGCCACTACTTGTGATATTTAATTTTACTGTCTAAAAATTAAAAGTTATAGTAAGGGGCACCTGGGTGGCTCAGTCAGCTGAGTATCTGACTTTGACTCAAGTCGGGATCTCATTGTTTGTGAGTTCAAGCCCTGTATTGGGCTTGCTGCTTTCAACCTATCAGCTCAGAGCCTGCTTCAGATCTTCTGTCCCCCTCCCACTCATCCCCACTTGTACTCTCTCAAAAATAAATAAAAAATAAGTAAATAAAAGTTATAGTAAGTAAAACAGCCATTTGCTGTAATTTAGGACTTTTGCACATTAAATTTTCACTTAAGTGTGGCATTTTATGCATCTATTAAAAATATGTGCAATATATATAAATCAAACCAACATGCTGTATACCTTAAACTTATACAGTGACGTATGTCAATTATTTCTCAATAAACCAAGAAAAAATAAATATTTACCAAAAATTATCCTTGTCTATACAAGATTATATGGGATCAATATACCCTACAGGTAAATTACCTGAAAATTCTCATTGTTAATGAGTGGCTTTATCTGCTATTGGAAATCTTACATTGCATATGCAGTGCTATAGCATTGACACCTGAACATGATAGCACTGTGATAGAGAATTTGTGGACAATCCTACTCGTGGGTAAATAGGTACCATCCTCCTACCCATATACTGACCACAGTATCCAAAAATGAAAGGCTCCGATTATAGACCTGAGTGTTGCTCTCCAGAAACAGCAGTGCTGGCAGTCAGCTGTTCAGAGGAGGCTGTCCTGTGTTCTTCAAAAAGGACTTACTTGCTCTTTGTTGAAAACCTACCACCTATATAATGAGTCTTGGTGCTTTCTCTGGTTTGGTGCTTTCTCTAACCATCCACATGTATCCAGAGCTTTCCATAGATGCCTTGGTACCGACACTAAGGAGACTGGAACATTCATTTTTTTATCTGGGCTGAGATTATAGCTCTTAAAGCAAAGTCTCTGTGAGACTCTGTGAATAAAGACATATTCTCATGTGGCTTTTCCAACCAGTCATGCCTCAAGATCTGTTTAGAATGTCAGATACAAGCATTTTTATTGTTTTTCATTTTGCTTTCATGTCATTACTGAAGGGCATGATTGTCTCTTAGAATTACTTTTGGTATTCTAACACCTCTAGTGTGCTTCCCTAAGAGACTGTACACACTCAACCCAGCTATCCAGATGAGTTCCTGCATCTCTTCTAAGCACAAGAGCTGCCATCCAAGTGTAGTCTGCTCCACTTCTTTCCAAGTTGTGCTATATATTTAGAATACGTGGCTTAGAGGGCCACAATCTCTCATCAAAAGTCTTCAGGTCAGGTGTGTTTCAAAAATCAGAATTTTTCGGTGCTTTCAGCAGTACATATACAAAAATTAGGACAATACAGAGAAGTTTAGCATGGTCCCTGCTCAAGGATGACACACAAATTCATGAAGCGTTCCATATTTTTTAAAAACAAAATATTTTGAATCAATCAATCAGTAACATAGGTACCATTTTTAGGATTTTT